TCGAGAGTGACAGACGAGCCGACAACAATACCGGCGCTGTGGAATCTGACGAGAGCCGCATTGCCGCTGCCATGAAGGAGCTCAGAAACACGGGTTGGACTGCAGTTTGTTTCCACAGTCTCCATCCAGAGGAGAACAGCTGGAAACCAAAGCCCAGCAGGTGGAGTTTCCATCCCCTCTTGTTTTTTTTTTTGTTTTTTTTTTTTTAAATTTTGGCAGATTTAGGGAGGGGCACATCCAAAACTAAAAAGGCTCACCTTAGTGCATCAAATAGTCCTGTTCAGGAGGCTGAAAAATCACAAACACAGCAGATTTTTCTTTAAAGCATGATGGTTAACAGCTCCAGAGACGTTGCAGCGAGTCTTCAGGTCCCCAGCCGCCACAAATCAGCTGATTGATTTCATTCTCAGCTCATAACATGAGCAGCACTGCCGTCTCTAAAGGTCTCCTTGGCTGGTTTGGGCCGTTTCGCACCACAGCTGCTGCATTCAGTGACAGACAGGGGAACAGTGAAAGGTATGCACTGTATGTTGTTTCACACACCTGAAAGAATCAGTGTGTGTCTAGGTGGCGCCATTACTTTCCACCAGGCAGATTCACAAAAACATTTTACTGTGAAACAAACGGGAGCTGCTCTTTTGCAGCCATCCTGATTGGTTGGTTAGTTTGGTCATTTTGTGGTTTTAACCTGTTAAGTTCCCATTAATAGCGAGTATAAAGGTGCGGTGAGCAACAGTGACGTCACATGTTGGTTTCTGAAGTCCTGTTTCCAACCAAGACTTTGAGTAATTATTTATTGTTGGAACAGCAAGGGAGACTGGGGGCGTGGTTTCAGATTAAGATATGGTCTCAGCAGGACAGTGGGAGGGGTTGGTGATCTCCAAACACTGACACATACAGACAGCTCGGTCACTGGGTGCTGCCCCTGAGCAGGCTTCCAAAAGTTGGCTAATCAGAACAAACTGAGCTTTTAATGAGACGGGTTAAAACGGGTGGTTTCAGAGAGAGGATGAGCTGGGATAAAGGGTTATTCTGAAGTTCATCTTTTGCTTACTGTCAGGTTGGTACTGGGGCAGTCTGACGGCTAATGAAGCCAAAGAGATCCTGCAGGACACCTCCGAAGGCACCTTCCTGCTGCGGGACAGCTCTCAGAGAGATTACCTCTTCACCATCTCCGCCATGACGTCAGCAGGTCCCACCAACCTGCGGATCGAGTTCAAACACGGCAAGTTCAAGCTGGACTCGGTGGTCCTGGTGAAGCCCAAGCTGAAGCAGTTCAAGAGTGTGGTCCACCTGGTCGAGTACTACGTCCAGCTGTCCAGGAGCAGCGACAAGGCGGCGTCGGCGTCAAATTCTCGGGTCTCTCCGGTGCCGCCTAATGGCACAGTGCAGCTGCTACTCACCAAACCCGTGTACACCTCCACGCCATCCCTGCAGCACCTCTGTCGCATCACCATCAACCAAAGGACACGACAGGTTCAGGATTTGCCGCTGCCCAACAGACTAAAGGACTACCTGACGGAATACGCCTACAATGTGTAAGGACTGATGTCATCTTACTGATCCCATCGTGTGCTGCTCTACAGGGTCACGCAATAAGCTGCAGTGTCGATGTGCTCTGAGTCTGCAGCCAATCACGCTGGAGTCAGAGGGGAAAGGTCTGATGGAAACGCCGTGTCACATGACCCCTCCTGACCACAGCTACCTCTCTGCTCTGTGGTGACTTGACACCTCGTCGTCCCCTCACCTTTACCAGATCATCACTTTTCAGAACATCCATTTTCCCCTGAATCCATATGCTGATTTTTAAAATGGACCAGATAAATCTGAAGTATCTGAAGTATCTTAAGGTATTAATGTTTACAGTGGTTACTGATGTGGTCACTGATGTTACCATGGTTCTATGAAACGTCATATTACAAATACCATTATTTAAAAAGCTTTGTTATTAATTTTGCTTGTTGACACTTTGAGTGATGCAGAGGGGGAAAGTGGTGCTATCGGGCTGCCCCTAAGTTAATTTTAGAAATAAAAACCAGAATATTGTATTTACCTTCATGAAAACAATAAAAATATTTCTTTTAGTTTTCAGGTTTGCTCTGCTGATGAATCACAGATTTGCACAGGTTTGGAAAACATTCCCTTTAAATTACAGCTGCAACTAAAGATTGGTAGTTGACTAATCTGTCAATTTTTCTTCAATTAGTCAACGATTATTTCAGTAACTCTTGTCCCTGTGGGCAAACTTCCTGTTCTAGGCTCCAGGACCTCACCTTCTCTGGTCTGCCCACCTGTGACTGTCACCCTGTTGTCTCATTCCACAGCAAATTCAAATAATTACCCAGGAAACGTGTGAATATGAAAATAATCAAATGTATCTCTAGCATTACTCAATAGCACGGTCAGAATAAAAGTAAGTCAATAAAATATCAAGGAACATAAATTAAAGTGCTACTTTAAACAGAAAAGTGTCCATAAAGTCGAATAAAGCTTTGAATTAAAAAAAAAAATAAATTATTTTTTTTGTTCAGGTTCAAAATAACAAGTTTCCGAAGTTTACAGATGATTCAGTTCATGAATTCACAACTGCAGTAGACATGCTCTGGAGGAAAGCTCACTCTTGTCTTTGAGATGTTCCCAGCTGCTGATAAACATGCTGAAGATGCTCTGTCATGATTTCAGCAATTTGAGAGGTGCATCAGCCTCTTTTCAGAAATGTACTGGTTTACTATTGGATTTCAGTCATTGGCTAGCAAAACTGAAATGCTTAGCAAGCATCCTGAGAGGTTTCTAACAGGTAAGCTAAAATAAA